TTTCATAAGATGAAGCCTTACATATCTGTTGTCTACAACTTAAGCTTGCTCTAAATTTTATGTTTTTCATATTTTTTTACCATCTCTCACGTGTGACACTTCCTGAGCACTAGGCTGTCTTGAAATTTGCTACACAAAAGAAAATCCAATACCTTTTAGTCAAGCCACACACAAGTTCTCAGGACCTGGGCAGAAGGCAGCCAAGTTCTTTGTCAGACTAAAACAGGAGTGGTTTCTAGAATCCATACCCCTCACCAAATATCTCATGGGCCAGGCCTCCAAACACATTGCTCTTGGTATTCCACTTTTCCACCACGAAGGACCATTTATCTCTGTGTATATCAATTCAGAGATTCTGTATCACACAGCTGCAAATTCTTCTACATTCTTCTTCCAACCTAGTCCAAAGCCTATGAACCATTATGTTTACATTTACCCCAACAATAACACTATCCACAAGAATTCTCTATATGAGTTACTTTCCTCATTGTTATAGCCAAACACATCACAAGAAACAATGGAAGCAAGGATAGATTTATTTTGGCTTACCTTTACCTTTCAAGGGGATCACTCCATTGCTACAAGGAGGACATGACAGCAGGAAGAGAAGGAATGACAATAGTGAGAAGAGATTATCTTTTTTTCTTTTGTTTAGTTATTTGTTATTTTAAAAACAATCTTGTTTTACATATCAATCCCCCATTTCCTTGCCCTCCCATCCTCCCCTGCTCCCCACAGACCCCCCAACACACCCCACATTCACTCCCCAAGGATAATGAGGCCTTACACGGGGGATCATCAAAGTCTGTCACATCATTTGGGGGAGAGCCGAGGCCCTCTTTTGTGTATCTGGGCTGCAATAGTTTCCCTCCATAGGGAATGGGCTCCCAAAGTTCATTTGTGCTCTAGGAATAAACACTGACTCCACTGTTAGAGGTCCCATAAACTTCCCAGACCTCCTAACCAGCACCCACATTCAGAGGGCTTGGTCCTGTCCAATGCTAGCTCCCCAGTTTTACAACTAGGGTCTCCATGCTCTCACTAGATCAGGTCAGCTGTTTCTGTTGGTTTCTCCAGCACGGTCTTGTCTCCTTTGCTCATCCCTCCTCCCTCTCTACAACTGGATTCCAGGAGTGTGGTTGTGTTTATCTGTGGGTGCCTGCTTCTGCTTCCATCAGCTACTGGATGAAGACTCTAGGAATGGCAACCAAAGTGGTCATCAATCTCATTATAGGGGAAGAGCATCAAAGGCAGCCTCTCCACTACTGCCTAGATTATTAAGGGTCATCCCTATGAATCCTTGAACATTCCCCTAGTGGCAGACCTCTCTCTAAACCTATACTGGCTCCCTCTATTAAGGTATCTCCTTTTTTGCTCTCCTCTATTCCTCTGCTGTCTCAGTCTTCCTTATCCCTCTTGTTCTCCTCCTTCCTCCTCTTCTTCCCTTCTCTTTTCCTTACCTCCCTCCCCTCTCACCTCATGCTCCCAATTTGCTCAGGGGTTCTTGTCCCTTTCCCATTCTTCGGGGGAGTATGTGTTTTCTCTTGGGGTCCTCCTTGTTTCCCAGTTTCTCTGGTGGTGTGAATTGTAGGCTGGTAGTCCTTTGCTCTATTTCTAATAGCCATATGAGTGAGTACATACCATGTTTGTCTTTCTGTGATTGGGTTATGTCACTCAGGATGTTTTCTTCCAGTTTCATTGCCTGTGAATTTCAAGATTTCATTGTTTTTCCCCCCCGCTGAGTAGTACTCCATCATGTAAATGTACCACATTTTCTCCATCCATTCTTCAGTGGAGGGGCATCTAGGAAGCATCCAGGTTCTGGCTATTACAAACAATCCCAACCCTGCTATGAACATGTTTGAACATGTGTCCTTGTTTGGGTATTCTTTGGGTATATGCCCAAGAGTAGAATTGCTGGATCTTGAGGTATACTGATTCCCATTTTCCTGAGAAACCACCATACTGATTTCCAAAGTGGTTGTAAAAGTTTGCACTCCCATCAGCAATGGAGGAGTGTTCCTCTTTCTCCACATCCTCTCCAGCATAGATGTCATTGGTGTTTTTGATTTTAGCCATTCTGGCTTGTCTTAAGATGGTATGTCAGAGTTGTTTTGAGTTCCATTTCCCTGATGGCTAAGGATGTTGAGAACTTTCTTAAGTGTCTTTCAGCCATTTTAGATTCCTCTTTTGAGAATTCTATATTTGGTTCTATACCCCACTTTTTAATAGGATTGTTTGGTGTTTTTGTGGCTAGCTTCTTGAGTTCATTGTATATTTTGGAAATCAATCCTGGAAGCATCCATCTTACTACACATTACATTACAGCCTAAAAAATAAGAATGAACAGCAAGTGGGATCTGGTTATAAAGACTCCCATTGATTGACCTCATCCAGTGAAGTGCCATCTCCTGTGTACTCCACAGTCTTCCTAAACCACCACTGTTTGTTACAAGGTCTCAATCTCAAAATATCAATCTCCCAACCTACCCCCAGCACTTTCTCTCTTCTCTCCATCTCTCTCTGTAGAGGTAAGATCTGAAGGTTTGTTTACTTCTGAAGACCATTTATCCTCAGCTTTTCTTCTTTGTGAAAACCAGATTTGTCTGCTAAGATAATAGGAACAGAAATAAATAGGCTTTTAATGAAGGACTCTGTGGTTAACATGTTTAAGATTTGATCTGCAGCTATGGGGACCATACCATTAAAAGTCCCCTATAGTCCCTAGTTCATTGTTGCGTTGTTGTGTTAGGCTAGTCTCTCTCTCTCTCTCTCTCTCTCTCTCTCTCTCTCTCTCTCTCTCTCTCTCTCTCTCTCTCTCTCTCTCTCTCTCTCTCTGTGTGTTTTCTACCCTCTTAATATTTGGTTTTCAAAAATAGTTTTTCCAGAGAGGATCTATTCCCTGTAGCTCCCTAAGTTTTTGTGTACTCTCATGTACTGCAGTTCTTTGTTGTACAAAGTTGTTGAAAAGGATATTATATTTGTAATATAAATGTCTTTTTAAACTTCAGTCTTTAGTGGGTCTGTCTATAATTGAAGCTGTGGTCATGATTTTTTTCATTAGCGATAAAGGTGATTTTTTTCTCCTATCCCTTAAGTCTTCTCTGACAGCAATATTTCTGGTATATTATTTGATTCTCTCAACCTTGTTGACTTTGAATTGTTAGAAGAGAATAAGAATCAAAGGGAGATGGAATATGAAGAATGTTCTTTTAGCTGAGATATGACTATGGTAATGACTTTTCACCTGGACCGCAGGCCTTGGCTATGGAATAAGCTTTGAGAATATTCACAGTGGATATATTGCCTCTCCCATAAAAGAACCTCAGTGAGATCTTTCTAGAAACATTGATGCCAGAATTTTCTTGGGTTTTTTAGAGGTAAGCCCCTAAAATTGTAAGAAACTGCTAGGAATGTATTGCCCAGGAATTTCTTCCTCTGAAGCTAGTCTACACTCAGTGTTTAGCAATCCATTAAAACTACCACATAGGTGTTTGCAGGACACTAAAGGCTGTGGAGGCTCTTCCTTAAAGCCATAAGGTCTTAAGTATGCCTCCTAAATGCACTTACCTCTCCAAATTGCCCACAGGAGACTTAAACTGTAAACTCAGTCCAAGGAAAGTCTGACTTCAAATTGTCCAGGTCTTTCTTGTTAATTTGGGAGTGATGACTCCCAGGGTCTTAAGATAAAACTAGGAAGTCCCCATTTCAAGCACTAAAATTAAGGCAAAAATTCCACTAGAATTTTTCCTTGTGGGTTTGTTTGTTTGTTATTTTTCTGGGTTTTTTGTTGTTGTTGTTGTTCATTTTTTCTTTCCATTACAATCTTCCTTTGTGGTGAAATGATTGAGTGTATCAGTGTGTTTTGATTCCTTCCTTGTTACTTTTGGTTTATCTAGTAACTATTTTTGCCAGTAAGCTTCCAGAAAAACAGTTTGATTATGAAACAGTTTTGAAATGCTAGCAACTTAGTATGACCAGAAAGATAAGAATAACCACAAACAAATGAACGAGAAAACATACTAAAAATGCAATCTTTACCTTGTCACATTTTGAATGATAGATTTCCTGTGTCGTATTGTTCTATGTTGCCTGTCTCACTCATCCCTGTAGGGAGTAAGCCCCACAAAGCTATCCACCCCTACACATCCCTAATGGTGTAATTATTGTTTCACAATTGTTTAGCTTCTTAGTCTTTATACTAGAGATCTGATTGGCTTACTCACTGCATATAATATGTTGGAGCACCTTGGAGTAGTTTGTGCATTTGGTTTTATTGGTGAGTTTTACAGCTTCCCGTATTTTCTTCTTACTCATTAAGTGTTTCTGTTAATGTTTCTATCTAAGTGTTTCTTAACGTTTACTTTGAAGGCTTTCTTTTAGCTTTTCTTTATATGGCAATGTGTTTACTTCTTCATTTCTAAATAACAGCTTTGCCTGATATTTAGTCACATTGACTGTTTTTCTCCTGTATTGTGAAACTCTCGTGCTGAATCTTAACATTGATCTAGAAAAACAAAGAGGTGTCAAGCCCACTCCAAGCCAGGAAATGCCTTCACACAGTTTCTTTCTAACACCATCTGTCCTCTAGACTCCTTCTTTGCTCTGTTCACATTCAGAGACATGTTGCTGCCCCTTGCCTTTCAAAGGCAGGGGATAGCCTCTCAACTGGCTACAAAATCAGCCCTCAGTGTCAATATTCCTGTTGTCCATGTGGGTGGCAATGGTGGTTGGCTCCAAGGTAAAGGGGTCAGATTTTTAAAAGACAAGTCAAGATAAGAATGGATAAGAAATAAAAATAAAAGGAAAATAACATTTTAACTTATTTGGATGAGAAAATGTGTTTTAAATGGAAGATTTTCAGATACACAGTTGCAGTATCAGTTTGCAAGGCCCACAGTCTAAGACAGATATTAATGTTTTAGTGAAACCTTGTTGATCAACTTTTAGAGATGGGAAGATGGGCAGCCAGATTATTTTGCTAAGAGCGCAGTCAGGCACAGTTTGGAAAACAATCTTTATTGCATATGATTATGTGTTCGACTGAGTGTTGGTCTTTTCATTTTCCTTTACACTATTGTCATTGTGTCTGCTTCCTCTGCTGTCTTCATGGTCTTTTCTTCTTCCTGAGTAGGAGAAAATAAATATAGTAAAACGAGAAGAGATGTGAAATGCCACGAGTGCTGCTAATGACTTTCCCTTCCCTTCTCTCTGAACCCCACAGTCATGCATGCACTGCAGTGAGCTCATTCCCAGCTCCATTGCAGCAAAAAGTTCTAAAGCATGCCCAGGTCTCTTGAGATCTCACTTTCATGTGGCTCCTTGTCTCCTCCCTGCTCTCTCATTTCCCCCACAGGGCTGTGACCATGGACCAATGAGCTCTCAGTTCAAACTGAAGTCTCTCAAACCCAAACCTCTGATCCCGCTGGGTTGGTCCCCATCCTCTCTCCAGGCTATTCCTGTTCACTGAGATTGTGCTAAGTTGTTTGCCCAAAGGGACAACACAATTTCCTTTTAAAGTAGAGGACTATCATGCAGGAACACAAAAAGTTCCCAGTCAAAACTCTCTAGTTTCTCACTTAATGAAGGTCAGTTTCCCTAGGAGAACTGGGTATACCTCCAAACAGTCCTGCTTTCTGTTCTGTATGCTCCCTATTCTATGAGATTTCTATTCCTGTGGACCTTACCTCTCGCAAAACATGGCCACCCCATTTTCCAGGATCCTCTAGCCCCAGAATCTTAGTTGCTGAGTGGAAACCAAAATAAGGACACTTCTTAATAAGTAAAGGTGCTCTGTCAGCCCTTAGTAATGATCTGAACTTCTTGCAGGAGCTGCAAAACTCAGGACAAATCCCAACTTACAGTAATGTTAAGATTCCTGGGCAAGAAGCAGAGGACCTGGTTAAGCCCTCTTCCATCATCCCCAGAGCTGACAAACCCCCTCTCTTCCCGGTGGAGGTGCAGGCCTGCACTGGACGGTCAGACTGCTCAGTCGGCCCGGCCCTTGCTCACTTCTGTCCTTTGGAGAATCAAACATCCAGCCTGGACACTGGCTCCAGGGTCGCTTTGTCCCGCTTCCCTCTGTGGGCTGCTGCTCCTCAGTCTTCTTTTCCTTGTGTTTCTCTTTCTCCTTGTTGCTGTTCCTCTCCTCCTTCCGGGTACTCTCTGATGCCACATTGCCAATAATCTGCGCCATGGTGAGGTGGAAGACATGGCAACTGAAGCCATCCCTGATTCCGTACTGCACGTGCTCTTGGAGGCTTTCTATGGTGGCAAAGCCTCTGCAACAGGCCATGCACCTGAAGCCATTCTCCATGGTCACCAGCCAGTCAGGCGTCTTGGCCCTGGGTCTCTCTTCAATCATGGGTGACCCTGGTGGGCTGTCTGACTCTGGCTTTTCTTCATTTTCTTTCTCTTCTCCACTGGGTTCACTGTCCGACAGGGGGTTTCTGGTAGACACATCAGAGGGCGGAGTGCCCACCCACACACCATCAGGAAGGGTGGCTTCTTCCATCCTTGGATGCTTTTCTAGGGACTCTGAGGTTTCCTTTGTGTCCCAGGAGACAACCATGCCTTTTTTCATTTGCACCTGCATGTAGTATATTTTCATACCCTTATCATCTTTGTCTGTACACAGGGAGGACACACAAGTCTTATAAGATGGACAGGATGAGAAGGGACGTTGGGAGGTGGCATTAGTGGCATCTCTTTCTGGAACCAGGTCTAGTGGAAATGTAGTCTTGGAACTGTCTTGTGATTTCCGGGTTCCTGGTAATTGAAATTAGAAACATAAGAGTATCTTCAAAGGGAAAGCTGAAGGACCATGAGTGAGAGTATGTGTGACACAGGAAAAGAGAACTTGGGGTGATATGACTGAACAATGAACTTGGTGTTTACTGTTTCCTTTAGGGGGTGGTGTATATGCTGTGGTTTGTGTGTGTGTGTGTGTGTGTGTGTGTGTGCTATGGTGTGTGCTATGGTATTAGCATATGGTGTGTACTTAGGAGTGTGGAGTACGATAGCACAAAACGAAGAGTGTATGAACAGAGGTAGACTGTATGCCGTGAAGGTGAGATCGCGCAACCTCACTGCTGAGGTATTTATGGAATGTGGGCTATTGTGCTCAAGGACAGTATCATGGGTCATGCATTTTCTTGTTAGGTATGTACTAAGAATGTACATATCTGTGTGGAATGTGGCTCTGTATGAAGTCTGTGAGTCCATGCTGGGTATCCCATTGCTCTAATGGCTACGCTGAGCAACTCTGCAGAACTCTGAATGCAGATCCAAAGGCAGAAGCCACACAATTCTTCTAGAGTACTTATCTGGTCCCTCAGCCTGCTGCCCCAAGCCCAGACCCTTCCATATACTGTTTCATGACTTCTCTCCATGCTGAAACCATGACTCAGGATCGCTCACACCAAACTCCAACTCCCTTAGCAGTTCAGAGCCCTGAGCACTCCAATGTCCCTGGGCTTCCTCTCAACCTTGTCCTTGAATCTCTAAGCTGCACTGCACCCTGAGCCTGACACCCAAAGAGTTTCACCCAAGAAGTCCCATACCCAAAGTGTGTCACACCCAAGGAGCCTCGCACCCTTACTACGATGGATGAACTTGTGTGGAGAAGAAACACAGGAGAAGTATTCTGAGGCAGAGGAGACCTCCCCTACCCCTGGGTTCTGGGCTTTGGCCACTCCAGTGGATTCGGGTTGAGGGACATCCTCTTGTGACTTTGAAATCCCTGAGAAAGGTATAAAAGACACAAAGATATGGTGGTTCGCCATGTTTGTACATCATTTAGCTATCCAATAAATACTGGTGTCTGACAGAATTACCAATTATAATTAATACGCATGGCTTGGAATCTGGCCCTAATATCCAGTACTTAATCACAGCCACAAGTAATTTTATTAATGTCTTCATTAAAAAATGTAAGTGTAGGGGCTGGAGAGATTGCTCAGTGGTTGGGAGTATTGGCTACTCTTGCAGAGGACCTGGGTTTGATTCCCAGTGCCCACATCATAGCTCACAACTATCTATAACCCCAGCCACAGAGGATCCAATACCCTCTTCAGGCCTATGCAGGCACCATGCATACACATGATGCATAGATACACCTGCAATAAAAAATCATACACAGAAAAATAAATAAAACTTTAAAAATAAGGCCAGGTGGTGGTGGTGTACACCTTTAATCCCAGCGCTTGAGAGGCAGAGCCAGGGGGTTCTAAGTGAGTCCAAGGCCAGCCTGGTATACAAAGCAAGTTCCAGAACAGCCAGGGCTATTACACAGAGAAACACTGTCTTAAAAAAATTAATTTGTTAATTAAAGTGTGACAGTGATGTATATAAGACAAACTTTAATAAATATGGTATCAATGTGGCAAAAACAGTAGAAATATGGTTTCTATCCAGAGAAAGAGCAGTTAGAAAATATGTAACCTTTCCTGTGTAGCCTATATCTGTTAAGTATGTTTCATTCACTGAAGAAATATTTAATAAATAACTATTAAGTATGAGGCCATTTCTAGGCTCTGAGAATGCTGAAATGAAGTCCATCTTTGAACTGGGCTCTCCATTTCAGTCTTGAAAGGCAGGCACTGCACAGAAATCAGTAAATATATACTAGGTCAGCTTATGGTGAGTATGCAATTATTACCAGATCTGGTGAACAAAAATGCCTGATATACAATCAAATTAGAATTTCAAGTAAGTCACAGACAGATTTTTAGAGTAGATACGTCCTATACAGTATTTAGTACACATTCGTACTAAACAATCATTGTCACTTATCTGAAATTCAAGTATAAGGATATTCTATATTTTATCTGGCAATCCTAACAAAAGGTAAGATGATTCTGTGTTTTACTGAGGTTTGTACAAAGCAGGTCTGGTATTATTACATGTATAGTGGTCATGTGCATGGTCCTTATATGGTATTTAGGAATATCCTAAAGTATTTGTGTTTATGTGGGACTCACACACACACACACACACACACACACACGAATTTAGTGTGTGAAGAGAAGACTGTCACATACATGGGCTGTGTGGGCACATGGTACAAGGATGGAGTGTTTACATAGCTGTGTGCCCTCAAAGTATGGAGGTATGGCACATCTTTCTGTATCAGAGCACATATGGGAAATGTGTGGCTATCTCATGGAAGGCCCTTATGAGGGCTTTGAATATATCCCCACATACACTGAGTGTCAGCCAAGTGTAGGCAAGAATACAGTAACTTTACCTTACATACTTCAGAGTTAATGACACTCTCCCACCCTTACACCTACTATTTCTCCTTCCAATAAAGATACCTGGGGGAAAATTCTAAAATATACGAGTAAATGGGGGAGTCAAAATCCCTTGCCTTCCCTTTCCTGCAACTGCCAGTTAGAATTCGACAGCGCTTGAAGCCACTGTTCCCTGGGCTCAGCCCACAGTCTTCAGGTCCCAGGGCCCATGGAAGCTGAGGGTCTCTGTTTTGGGCAAAAGTCTCCATCTGAGCATCTAGGTTGGGCTCAATTCTACCCTGCTTCCTACACATGGCAACCCTTTATAGCAAGCCACTTATTTTTTTAATTATGTACTTATTTTTATTTTATATGTATGAATGTTTTGCCTGAATGTATGTATGTGTACCATTTAAATTCCTGGTCCCCAAGGAGGTCAGAAGAGGGAACCTGATCCCTGGAACTGGAGATACCAATGGTGGTAAGCCACCGTGTCGACTCTCAGAATGGAACCCAGGTCCTCTTGCAAGAGCCGTAAGTCCTCTTAACCATTGAGTCATCACTACAGCCCACATTCCATGTTTTTACATGCAGTAATTGCGGTTGTCATGCTCCTAGTAAACAAGCTAGCAACTATGAGTGTCCTCTGCCTTCTCTAGGGTTCTGGTGAGTGTCATCCCATCTGTCATGATCTTGGTCTCTAATCAGACCCTTTCCTTTCTTTTCATTTCCTCTGGAAAGTCTAAAGCCTGTACATCCACAGACTCTCATGGACCACTTATAAATATTTTCTACTCAAGGAATAAAATCTTCATGGTCTCAATATGACATCAACCCTAGGCCAACCCTTAACCTTTTGAATATGCATTTTATTTCTAAAAATATTTCTCAGGCCCTGTAACTCATTAGGCTACTCTTTACTATGTCCTAAAAGACTCCATGAAATTCAGATTTTTAGCAATCCCCATCACATCTCCAAGGGGATTTATTATTCCAGGGGGAAAACAAAAAAGAATAAGATATATGAACTCAGGAAGGGATCGCTGAAAACCTGCACCTCTGAGTAATATGCCTAGGACCTCAGTAAGCTTGGAAGTCCATAGCTCCAAATGCCAGTGCCCGGAAATGCCAAGGTTCATAAAACAACACAACTGACTGTCTCTCTGCCATGGGCACCTGGACTCTCTGCACTGTCTCACACCACTGAAAGCCTGGAGACAGACCTGGCTGATGGGCAATTACTGCCTCTCTGCTTCACCTGAATCTTGGTCAGCTCAAGCTCACAGCATCCCCTGTGGCCCCAGACAAGCTGCCCAGCCCATACCTCCTGACTTCTCATCGGTTTCCTCGGACTCTTCAATTTCCAGATGTTTCCTCTTTTGTCGCCGCTTCATAGTGTCAGCCAAAATAGTCCCTTGAAGGATACTTAAAGTCCAGTTTCACCTTTTCTCTACAGGTTGGCTGATCCTTTTTTTTTTTTTTTTTACCTTCAGGAAGTCCGTTAAGATAAGTCAACACAAATTAAAATGTATTCAAGTCTCTTAACTGGTTGAAGAACTCAGATCACTTAATCAAACAGCAGCCCTGTCCAGTGTTCACTATCCTGCATGGCTGTTAAGGGTCAAAGGTCACAGGCCTACTGGAGGATTCTCAATGATGACATCAGAGCATTCTATGTACCTCAGTCTAGCATAGCCTCTGAAGCTTCAGAAACCCTCTTTGCAAGAACAATTCCTTTTCCCCCATGGAATCTCTCTAAGGAATTCAACTCTTGTCTCTCAATTGTAGCAGAATATTTTTAGATGCTAACATGTTTCTACTTCACTTTTTTTTCTTTTCTCCAGTTATTTCACCTTTTCGTTTCTGCCCTTAAGGAGGCAGCAGACTTTGTGTTCATTGTTCATCTCTCAGAGCAGAGGTATTGACAGGGCTGAAATTGTTGGTAAATTGTCTCTAAAGCCTCAAACTTTGCAGAAAACAGAATACTGGGCACAGGTAGAATTTCTTTGGATTCACTTTCTTCTTATTCTGCTGAAGGTGTGAAAAAACACCAATTAGATCAGAAATGTGTGTAAACAGTGGGAAAGAGGGGCCTTGATGTATAGCTGGGGAGACAGATACAAAAAAAAAGGTTCATATAACAGAACCATGCCAACCTGTCCTAAAGTCCAGCAGCCTTGGCAGTCAGGTACTCTGATGACCACCCTCAAAGCCACCGCCCCGCATGATTTCCAAAATCAGATGGATGGAAATACACACAAAGCAAGGACAGGAGCAAAGCTTAAACTGACGGTTAAGTGGAGGTATGAGAGGGGAAATGGCACTCCACTTCCTCCAGACGAGCTAGACATTCTCCAGGGATAAGGCGGCAAGACTCCTCCTGTATCTAACAACCACCAAGTGAAGCCACTCTAAATTGACCATTAGGGAGCAGCCTTGGGAACACATGGGCATACTGTGAACTAAGGAGTCTAGATACAGTGCAGATCTGGTGAGATCACTACCCATTCTCAAAATCAGACTACTTCTAGATTTTAAGGAATCACAAAGTGATTTTTACGTTGTTCTTCAGACTATAGTTTGATATAGTTATAAGACTAGTTCCCTGCTACTAAGAGCAAGAATGACAAGGCTAAGATGCATAAGGGAAAATCTACAGAGAAAGTACTTGATAATGTGACTCGGAGCAAGATACGTCTGTACCACTTGGCACTAGCTTTCCTTCAAATAATAAACATGATCTCAAAGACCAAAATTAGCATTGAAGACTCGTTTTATATTATCTGTCACCTTTAAAACAAGAATAGCTTCTCCTTTGGTTCTACTTCACTCTGACTTCCTCTACCAGTTTCTACACATGATCTTTGAAGGATCTGGAGAAAGCATCTACCAGGCACCCAACTCAACATCAAAGTATCAAACCTAGACATATACTTTAAACTACAAACACTTGTCATTGTGGGTCAAGAAGTCAGAGAAGAGTAACATGTAGAAAGGACAGGAAGAAGATACCACCCTTTATATAAATTATTCAAATGTTATGACAAGAATATACCAAGGTATTGTTTATGTGAAAATGTCCACATATTGAAACTAGATCAGGTACCCTTCCACACACAGGAGATCAGCATTGTCTAAACCCCTAAAGACAATTTAGAAAGTTAAGACAACAATATCACAAATTCCCTCAATATAAATTTGATAACCTGGATGAAATAGACCAACTCCTCAGAAGCTCATAAAACATGAAATAAATTGAATAACTTTGTAACTATAAAGGAAGTCAAATATACGGTTGCTAAACTTTCAAATGAAATCTCCATGACCACATGATTTCACCAGAGATTCTGTGATGTATTTTGAGAATAGTTAATACGAGTTGTATACAAGCTTTTATGTGAAGACAGAAGACTTCTCATTTTTTTCATGAAGACAGTAGTACTCTAACCAAAACAAGGCAAAGATAATAGTGCATACACAAAAATAACTGTATGCCAACATTCCTAATAGTAAGGATGTAAAATCCTCAGCAAAATATTAACAATACAATTCAGCAATGTATAAAAGAAATTATACTCAGTAAAACAGTGGAGTATTTTTCCAAGGATATAAGGCTGATCTAATATTTGAAAGTCAATCAGTATTATATTAGCTAGCTAAGGAAAGATAATATTGGACTGGAGAGATGTCTCAATCATTAAAGGCTAGGCTCACAACCAAAAATATAAGAAAAGATAGTATCTTAATGCTGTAGTTTGGAAGTAATTTAAATCACCAAGAGATTCATATATTCAAAGCATGGTCCCCAGGATGGAAGTATCAGAAAGGGTAGATCTTTTAAGAACCTAGACCTGACAGAAAAGGGTCCTAAGTCTCTGAGAAAATACCCTCAGAAGGAAACCATGTAATTTTCATGCTACTACATGGTAGCTGTCAGAAGAGTAATGAGCCAGACACCAAGTTCTGTGCTTCCTGGTTGAGATGTGATTTTTCTTCTCACTTGCACTACCACTATGATAGGACTGTCTCTTGCAGGGCCTTCAAAAGAGGCTGAACCAAGACACCCCCCCATCCTGGACTTTGGATTAGTAGACTATGGAGGAAAGAAACTTTATAAGTAGCTTGGTAATAAGGTTGTACTAACAAAAACTGGCTATGACTCATTGCCACTGGTACAACAAAATCATTTGGAAAATACCTATTGTGTTTTTTTTAATCTCATACAAATATGAGCAGACATAAATTTCCAAGCTCAGTAAAGAGATCTACATAAAATCTGCTGCTAAGATTATAATAGACTTGGTAATAAACTGCTGAACATTTTCCACCTTAAGAATGCAAACACAGCAAATTTGTCTCGCTCACTGCTTTTGGAGATGATGTGCATAGGATAAGGATGGAAGGTAAGGCCAGTCAAACAAGGCATGAAAAGAAAAGAACATCTATGCAGATGGGATGATGGAAATAAAATGATCCCCATTTGCAGATAATATCATTGGATAAGAAACCGCAGGGAAATAAGACACACTAGGAAAAAATAAGCAGTGCAGAGGGGATGGGGGAAGGAGGAAGAAAGGGAGCTGTGGAAGAAAAAGGAACCCTTAAGCATAATTAAGTGAATTAATCAGGATCATGGGGTAAAAGATAAACTCACCACAATCACCTGCCAATGAGGAACTGGTTCTTAGACTTCCTGCAAATTAAAATATGTACAAATGCTCAGGACTCTCAAATAAGATGATGGCAAACATCCATATTACTCACAATCTCCTGTAGCATTCTCTAGACAACTTACAATACACAGTGTGCTGTTTCCTGAGGTGGGAAGAGGTGTTATGACAAGCAAAAGTCATCATCGGTACATGTTCAGAAATATAGTTGCACTTCTATATATTGTAAATGGATAGGTGACCACCAAAAACTAAACAATTTGAATTTATAACTGCTCAAATAATAAAGAGTTGTAAAATTAACAACTAATGTACAAGATTGAAAAGTTGTAAAACAGAGAACTATGGCTCAGCATAGTAAAATGCAATTTCCTGAAAATTAATATACAGACTTAATATAATTCCCATCAAAATCACAGAGTAATTTTTGTAGTTACAGACAAGTTTTTTCTTAAATTTATATGTAAAGGCAAAGGAACTAGAGTAAGTAAAGCAATTTTGAAAAGGAATAAAAATTACCCTATTTTAGTGCATTATTTTCTACAATAATCAAGATTATGTGGTAGTGGCCAAGATATGGACATATAAATCAATTGAGCAGAATAGAAATTGCACAGATAAACTTCTTCAAATATACCAAGTGATTTTTGACAAAACTGCAAAAGTAATTCACCAGGGAAAAGATGGCCATTTGCAATAAATGGGGCTGAAGCAATCAGATACCCATTAAAAAAAAAGAAATGAATGGCCCTCTAAACCTCACGCTTTATACAAAAATTAACTCTGTGGACTGGAGGGATTGCAAACAGCTAGTAAAGTAATAGATCATGAACTCAGAATAAAGATACCCAACATTTAGAGGAGAAAATAAGAAAGCAACCTTAAGGATCTGAGACATCAGTAACCTGCAGGAGTGCAGGAGTGCGGGCTTCACTGTTAATTTCCTTAAACCTAAAACTAAAAACATAATCCACACCAAAAAGATAGACAAATTAGGCTGCATCGAAATTAAAGCCACCTGCTAGGAAAAGATCCCATTAATAATGTAAAAAGAGATCTATAGACTCTGATAAAGTATTTGTAAACTATGTACCCAACAAAGGATTAGTATCTACAATATATCATTTAAACATTTCTAAGTCAAGCATTTAACTAATCCAGTTATAAAAATGGACAAAAGACATGAAGAGATGAGTTACTAAGGATTAGATACACATAATCACATGATGTGTTATTCAATACCATTGACCATTCAATATCAATGATTATTTCAACCATGGTGAGGTCTCACTAAAAAGCTATCAAAAACAACCAAAAGACACTCTAATGGTAATGGCATGTTCTAACAAGAATGTGGAGGGGCTAAATCTGCTGTACATTGCTGGTAAGAATATAAAATACTTTCAGAAGATGTGGTAGTTTGAATATAATTAGTTCCCATAAGCCATAAATAGTAGCACTATTAGAAGGTATGGCATTGTTGGAGGATGTGTGACCTTCTTGGAGGAAGTGTGTCACTGTGGAGATAGGCTTAGAGGTCTCATACATGCTCAAGCCACACCCAGTGAGACAGTTCACTTCCTGTTGCCTGCCAATCAAGATTTAGGACTCTCAGCTACAGTACCATGTTTGTCTTCATGCCAACATGTCCCACCATGATGATAATGAACTCTATTTCTAAAACCATAAGCCTCTCCATTAAATGTTATTCATTCATAAGAGTTGTGGTGGCCATGGTGTCTCTTAATAGCAATACAACCCCAAACTATGACAGAAGAGAATAACCACTTTAAAAATTAATGTAACTACCAAGTGACCCAGCACCTTCTTGGGGATTTATCCCAATGAAAGGAAAAGCCAATATAAACACCAGGAATGCTGCTCTAAAGTCAAAACAACCAACCTTGGATGAATCTGCAGAGAATTAGGCAGAGTTGGGAGGACAATCCAAAAAGCTTACTTACAGGCTGTGTCATTATATTTATAAAACATGACTGAAATGACAAATTATAAAAACAACTAGTGTCCACCGGTGGTTAAGAAAGGAACAACAGGAAAGCGGCCAAAGAGAAGTCTTTGAATTTTTAAATTAGGAACCAGAGGGATGACTCCATAGTTAAGAACGCTTGCTTTTGCAGAGGACACGGGTTTGGGTCCCAGCAACCACACAATGGCTATCTGACGTCTTCTTCTTTCTCCTGTGGATGACAGGTATGCATGTAGTGAACAAACAAGCATGTAGACAAAGTGCTCATAAACATAAGATAAATTAATCTCTTTTAATTTAACTTTAATCTAAGAAGGACCTTCTTTCTTTTCTTTTTTTATTTAAATTAGAAACAATCTTGTTTCACATGTCAACCCCTCTCCCTCCCCTCCTCCCCTGCCCCCCACCTACTCTGTATCCCATCCCCAATCTGCTCCCCAGGGAGGGTGAAGCCTTGAGAATGACCTTCGTTTTCTACTTATATTCGTATCGATCAAAAAGGAGCTTATTCATACATATACATACATATATATACATAGAGAGAGAGAGAGAGAGAGAGAGATTACCCCCAAATCTCTCAGTAGCTTAAAATGAGTTCCCTTGCCCCTGCTGTGTGCCCACTGTCAGTTGATCATGAATTCTGCTCTCCATTGTCCTTACTTCTAGACACAGACTGACAAAGCCACCACTGTCTGGAAAACTGACAGTATGGTTACAGAAGGAAAGACAGTACTGGAAAGTCTTGCGTTAGCATTAAATGTTTTGGTCTAGAATTGATAGCTGTCACAGTCACTCAAAAATCAGGAACCAGGAAACATATCTGACCCGGCTGCACATCTACAAAACTCTATCTAAAATTATCTTGTTAGATTGTGATTCAAATCCTCTCTAGCATGCACCGTTAGGGTTTATACCCAAGGATGGTACCTTTGCTTGTTTTACCATTTACATATTAAATTCAGGAAGGAATGTCTGGAAGTCCTTAAAACATTTGGCCTTAAACCGCAAAGAAATGGGACATAATTTCACGTCCTTACTTCAAAAATGATGGAGCTAAAAAGATTAGCTGTCTGGGAGGCTTTTGTAGTGAGAATACACAGGAAACAATGTTTCTAAGACTTCAAGAAATGGCTGAAAAACTCTTGATTCCCACTTTGCTATTTCGATTATCTTGTTGACACTCTACATCTGTGAATAATGGCAGCAGCTGCAGCCCCGCAGTTTTAGCTGAGATGAAAGTGTCTGCTGTCGCACAGCAGCCTTTGCAGAGGCACACGCAACCATAAGTGCTTAGTGCTCTCCTATTTGCTCATAGGTCTGTGCAAGAAACAAATGCTTCAGAAACTTATGCCTAGTCGTTTTTCTGTTATTACTTTAAAGATAGATTGACTGCCAAATATTTGTTCCATCATGAAAAGCAACACATCTGTGGAAGAAGGATTTGCTCATTACAATAAGCTGTTCATTTCTTTCCACACACATACCACACACACCTGATAAATCAGAGGCACTCTTCCATACTTTCCCAAATTGCGGGAAAATGACCATGCCGGTCTCTTCCTTTAATCACTACTGCTCAGCGTTACTTTTTGGAGAATATTATCCCTTTTGCTCAGATCTTAAATGGCTTTCTAAGATGAGAGGAATACAGTCTGAAACGGCCAACCAACCCTTCAAAGCCCTGTGACATTTTCAAGCCTACAGCACAACACTTACCTTTTAGATTTCACTTAATGTAGCCAAACTTCCCACCTCAAACAGAGGTCAAGCCTTTGCCTGAGCCCTGTCCTTGGACTGACAGATTTTACAAATACTATCCAAAGGGGCATTTTTTGTAAGAACCTTCCAAGATCCCCCTTAAGGAGGGCCTCCACACTCCCAGTTTCCAAAGGACACTAGTGGTTCCTGTGACTTCTCTGCGTAGTCAATTCTGTAACACAGATGAATCTGCAGAGGCTGTGTTCCTCTTCTCTGGATTCTGGCAGTTCTCTGAATTTACTTTCCCTATACACCATCACCCAAACTAAAACACTTAAGTAGTGAAAGCGCTGATTGCATCTTGCTTCTCCCTTTCCCAAACAGTATCCCAACCTGGTCTTCTTTTGCTTTTCCTCCCTCATCAGCATGTGTGTTATCTGGAAGAACTGCCATTCCCCAAGTTTGTCATCACGCCAATTATTTGATCCAAAAAGAGAGAAGGAGAGTCCCACCTGTCCTGTGTAACTAAGCTGACTCCCTTCAACTCTGCCACAAACCTCACTACCTAAAAGTTAACTACAGAGATTTAGCCTTTTGGGCATTAAGCCTTAAATTGTTTCCTTTAGATAAAAATTTCTTTATGAAAACTGAGACTTTATATCATTATCTGCCTACATTTAAGCAAGGACTAGTGGAAAACATACATAAAACTAGGCTATTTTTTATTTTTAAATTTAAATTAGAAACAAGGTTGCTTCACATGTCAATCCCAGGTCCCTCTCCCTTTCCCTCCCTTCCTCCCATGCCCTCCCACCAGCCCCCCCCAATACCCCCTAATTTCCCCAGGGAAGGTGAGGCCCTCCATGGTGAGTGTCTGTCACTTCATCCAGGGCAGGGCCTAGACCCTCCCCCCCCAAGAGTCCAGGGTGAAAGTGCATCTTTCATTGTTGGATGGGTACCCAAAGTCCATTTGTATACCCTGGATAAATACTGATCTACTGCCCAAGGCTCAATAGATTGCCTAGGCCTCCTCACTGATGCCCACATTCAGGGGGTCTTGATCAGTCCCATGCTGGATTCCCAGCCATCAGTCTGAGATTCAAGAGCTAACCCCTTATCAGGTCAGCTGTTTCTGGCGGTTAAACCAGCCCAGTCTTAACCCCTTTGCATCAGTCTTCCCTCTCTGTCACTTGTTTCCTTGAGTTCAGCTCAGTGCTTAGCCTTGGAGTCTGCCTCTTCTTCCATCAGCCACTGAATGAAGGTTCTGTTTCTGAGACTCTCTGGCCATGGGATTGTAGGCTGGCACTCCCCAGATCTATGTCTAAAAAAGCTAGGCTATTTTTTAATAAGATGTATATAAAGGACAAAGAAGAAATAGAGTGAAGAGGGTGCTGTTGAGGAAGTACCAAAATTAAATAAATATTCAACTTCATTATGAATTATCTATAGACCAGTATTCCTGAGACAGTACCCCTGAGGGATACAAGGTACTAATAACAATATATAAATATACAAATGTATGTATATGTACATATATATAGACAAATTAATAATGTTAAGAAGTGAATAGAGACTCATGAGACTTCAAATAGCCACACTCTAATATCAGTGTGTAATTACTGATATTAATATAAAGGAGCTGTGAGATTAGGGTAAAACCCATAACTGTGAAAGAAATCTTCCCATCAGGGACTTAATTGATGTGTATAAATTATAAGTAAGAAAAGCAAGTCTTAGAAAAGAGATCATAGGACTGTTGGGCCTGAGAGAAACTCCTGACCCAAAAGACTCATCTCAGCTGAGCTGCATGTCCCTTTAAACCTACTTTGTAGGGTCTTGGATATATGCCTTGGACATCAAGTCAAAGATGTGAGGAAGATTGATGCACTCTAGGCAATATCTTGGCATCTCTCCTACAACAAGGTCAGCAATATATCCACAATGAGGGAACAACCTTAACCACTGGAAAACTTTGTGCTTTGAAAGTCTTTCAATTCATAAATGTTGTCTTCCTGCTGTCTATAGCCAGTCCTATAAAAGATCAAGGGAAAATGTGCCCCTGTGTGTACAATGTGATCATTGAACTGATGTTGCCATGAGCACACAGCAGGGTATTGTCTGTCCTAAGGAAAGCATTAAGATGGTTGCCTGGTACTTCTCTTTATAGAATATTTACTGCTTGTCACTACAGGACAGTTGTCAGTTGTAGGCTGTGAGCAAAACCATCCTCTTTCACAATTTGTCCTTGAGAGGGTAAGAAGAGATCAGAGTCCTGAGACTGTCTTAACAGTTGGAAATTCTGACCTGGCATATAGCAGGAAGCAGTGTCCTTGCTTATGGGTGATTTTTAAAACTACTTTAAAGTATGTACAGAAGCTCTAACTGATTCTCTATCACCTAAGAACCCCAAGATTTCCATATCTCGAAAATGTTGTAAAAAACTCAAATCTATTCTTCCTCAGAGAAAGTCTATGATCACAAATTTTGTTAGAGCCTGACAATGTTTAATGTTTGAAAAAATATTATTTAAGGGCATTTATAAAATTATAAGGCATATGAGCTACAAAGATAGAGTCCTGAGATGTTTACAAATAAAGGTAATTGGCTTTACTAGATCAAACCAGATGAGGTTATTGCTTGGACAGCTCATGATCTCTGGGTTAAGCATAGGGCACCTAGGAACAGGATAGGTTGACCTTTAAAACCAATGGCTGGCTGCTTTCCGGCTTCTTCATTACTCTGTGTGTTTTTGCTTTAAAAGCTGCTTGCCATGTAGTAATAAACGAGTTCTTGCTTCACTTGACTCCCCGCTGTTGTCTGATTTTCTCCAGGATCCTGGGAGACTTACCCTTCCTCGTACCCAGCTCAGCCTTTTGTGGTTGGGCTAAGACCCTACATAAAATCTCATTTGGGGGGATTGAAAAAATGGCTCAACACCTAAGAGAACTGACTGCTCTCACACAAAATCCAGGTTCAATTCACAGCACCCACTCGGCAACTCACAACTTTCCTTGGGACTCCAGGGGCCTCTTCTGGCCTCTGGGCACTGCACACACATGGTGTATAGACACACAACAGCCAAAACAGCCATACCCATTTTTTTTGGAAAAGAAAAAAGTAATTCAACTGTATGAGTTTGTGTACTAAGTGAAAGATTATCAAATACATACATTCGGTCCCACATCTTCAGGGCTCCCACCGAACGGGCTGTCAGAACAAAGTAACTGCTCTCCCTGTGGATGCTTCTCTTCCCTTCCTAACACCAGTTCCAGAGGATAGCCTGACCACAATGGTGACAGTGACCAAAGTGCAGGCAAAGTCTAGGACAGCCCAGTCGCTGCTGGAATGCTCCAAATTGTGAAGAAATGCAATGTTTGTGAAATCCAGTCTCCTGATACCCTTGAATTTCCTGGAAAATGGTCCTTTCAAGAAGTTCTCTGACTCATCAAACACGGTCATGAATCACCACTGTTTAGAGAAAACTACATCTTTGGGCAGGTGTAACTGAAAATT